TATCAATCATCTCTCTCAGATTGCAAAAGCCTACGAAGAATCCATCAGCCTGTCCACCACGGGATATTTCAGGTAAAGGACGCTTTTACGTTGGTTGGGATTACACGTGGGCAGGGATGGCGTGGGCACATCATGAACAGATACCTGCTGAGCACTGGCGCGCAGCCATGGGCGGTGTCAGCCTTCAGTCATGGGCCTGGGGAGGCGGGAGGAGACCTAGGGGAGGCCAGGGACCCTTGGAGCCACCGCCCTTTCTCAGCCAGAGGGACACCCCCTGTGACTGGCACAGTCACTGCCTGATGGAAAGGAGGGCTCAGACACCCATGGGCCTTCTTCCCGTGTCTGTGCAGGACCCGAGTAGGAGAAGGTCAGAGAGGCCTTCGGTCCTGGGTGGCGCTCTGTTCATCCCCGGGACCCAGAGCGCCACCCGGGATCAGACCACGAGGCGGGAAGGAGCCTTTCTCGCCCTCGGGTTTCTCTTTGCAGAGACTACCAGACCTATATGGACTGGGAGAAGGAGGAAGGGGAGCCTTACCCATATTTTGTTTACGGAGCAGCCTGTTCTGAGGTGGAAGTCGACTGTCTGACTGGGGCTCACAAGGTAGAGAGGGGGGTGGGTGCTCCCACCTTCACAGAGTGAACGTTTCTATGGACGCATTTTCTGTGTGTGGATGCTAATCACCCTGACCCTGCCAGTGGGGAACCGGGACAGGGAGGCAGTTGTAGTGAAGAGCTATTTTTAAATCACATTTTCCATCCTGTATGTTCTCGTGGCGCAGCTCCTTCGGACGGACATCTTCATGGACGCGGCTTTCAGCATCAACCCAGCCCTGGACATTGGGCAGGTTCGTGGTACCAGACCGCCCCGCGGGGACTTTGGTCGATTCCATTCAGCACGTTATTTCCCAGAGTTCTCCAAATGCTTATACCTGCTCCAAGTACTCTGCAATATATGTCATATATTACACACACACAAATAGATAAAACATTGAAAGAAAATTCAAGAAAAAGTTAACAGCGGTTGTCTTTATGTGGCAGAAATATGTGTGATTTATCCTGCTTTATAATTCTCCAGGCCTTCTAATCTTTCTTCAGCAAACATTAACATTTATAATTAGGGAATATTATATAAGTACATAATAATAAAGCCCCATTTGCATTCATATGCATATTGAATTTAAGTAGACTGAACAATTTAGAGAAATATAAGGGGAAAAGAAACACTTAAAAACAATTTTTCTCTGGCAGAATTTCTGATTTATATCTCCCAAGTAAGTAAATTAACACACCCAAAATCTTTTTCAGCTTTAAGTTAAAGCCTTTCCTGCTGTTGGTGTAGCTTTGTTTCCCCCCACCCCAACCCCGTAGGCTTGTTATTCAAAGTGGGGCCAACAGGCCAGCCATGTCAGCCCACCCCCGACCTGCCAACCAGGCCCCCGCCTAGACCTGAGTAGCAGGTTGAGCAGCTTGGCTTCAAACCCAACAGACAGACCTGTGGTTTCATCTGCCAACAGCTTCCTGTCTTCCTGAGTCCTAAGGAGCTGGCTGACTGAGATTGGCCAATGGGCTTTCTGAGGGACAATTTAATTGGTCCCTCAGTGTTTCTCAAAGTGCGGTCCTCCAACTCGGCAACGAAAGCACCTACAGTGTTTATTGGCAATGTGGGTCCCTGTGCCCACCCAGGCCCACTTCTCCAACAAAAGTTTGCTGGGTGGGGACGTATAATCTACCCATTTAACCTGCACCTGAAATTCATCCTAAGTCTGTAAAGTTTGACAACCACAGCTGACCTCAGGCCCCACCTCTCCTTCACCTTCCTATCCGCTCCTACCAGCTTGTTCCTGCCTCTTTATTGCTTAAGCAAAGGCCAAAATGGAAATGTTATGATCAGAGAAACCCTACCTTTTCCCATTGGGAAAGGGAAGAAAGAACCAAAAATGTGTTAGACTGGAACTCTTGGACTTTAATCTTTTCCTTTAGGAACAAGCATTTGGAAATATCCAAATTTAGCATTTACATTTGTTTACTTTATTCTGTAATTTTACAATTCAATAGCATGCAACATGTAACTCCCCTTCAATTTTTTAACCTTGAGGCAGATAACCCCTTTAAAGGGGACTATGAACCTTTTTTCTCAGAGCATAATAGTTTGTAGATAAGCAGAACTCAAATGGCTTTTAATGAAACATATTTAATTTAATAAAATATATTTCTTTCAACCCACCTTGTTTAAGTTTGATCTACACTCCATCATAATTTATAAAAGGAAGCAAAAAAAAAATCCAGATAGTATAATAAATACTGTGCCCCAGTTCCATTTACTTATTCACATTCCTTTAACATTAGCTCTTTTTCATATAGTTCAACAAACATTTTTTGAGAATGTATGTACCAGGCACTATGCTAAGAACAGAACACAAGAAGGCCAGACCTCATAATGCTTATAAACCAGTGAGAGCTGGAGTGAAGAGAAAGAGAGAGAGAGAGAGAGAGAGAGAGAGAGAGAGAGAAGAGTGGAGAGAGAGAGAGAGCGAGAGAGAGAAATAAGAGTTTGCCAAGTGGACAGGCTGAGGTGGGGAGCAGTAAAGAGAGAAACTGCCCTTACAAAGAATTGGAGGATGGAACCAATCTGGTGGGCTTGGAGAATCCCCCAGAATTTGACAAGTGTTGAGTCCCTGGAATGTGAGGTACCTGGGCAAGAAGAGCTAAGGCTGGGGTCAGGCAGGATGGCAAGCACCAGACGCTGAAAGACCCTTTGTAAGTTCACTGCAATGCTTTCAAGAATGACTTACTATGGTCCAGAGCTCCATTTGCAATCACATTGGGATATATTTTCAACCAATGTCATGTACTTATAAACTGTGACATTTTTGCCTGTAGATTGAAGGAGCGTTTATCCAAGGCATGGGATTTTATACCATAGAAGAACTGAAATACTCCCCGGGAGGTGTGCTTTATTCTCGGGGTCCTGAAGACTACACAATCCCCACCGTCACAGAAATACCGGAAGAGTTCTATGTTACTATGGTGCCGTCCCGAAATCCCATAGCCATCTACTCATCCAAGGTAAGAACTCAACACCTCTATTCGTTTGCTAGCGCTGCCCTAACAAAATACCAGCTGGGGTGGCTTAAGCAACAGAGATATATTTACTGGAGGCTGGAAGTGTGAGATCAAGGCTTGATTTATTTGTAGACTTCTCTTTGGCTTGCAGATGGCCATTCTCATTGTGTCCTCACATGATCATCTTTCTATATGGCACATGTCAGATGTCTCTCTCTCTCTCTCTCTCTCTCTCTCTCTCTCTCTCTCTCTCTCTCCCTTTTCTTATAAGCACATCCTAAAGACCTCATTTTAACCTAATTTCCTTTTCTTATAAGCACATCCTAAAGACCTCATTTTAACTAAATTACCTCTGTAAAGACCTTATCTCCAATTACAGTCACATACTGAGTACTAGCGGTTAAGGACTTCAACATATAAATTGGAGGGGAGCACAGTTCAGCCCATAATAACCTGCTCCTTCAAGAAATAATGAAAGAGTCCCCTGAATTTGCTTTCTTCTTGGAATTGCAGGTCCCAAAGGGAGATGGGGGAGGGGAGAGCAAACTCATGGCAGAGTGGTACTCACTGCCTTCAGAACCCCAAGTGGAGTCTTCACTCTTGAGAGAGCTCATGAAATATATTTAAATAAAACAAGAAGTCAAACATCTTGGTTCATGAGGCTAAGTGCTACCGGGAGGTAAAGCTGAAGTTGTAGGCCAATTTCCCCAGCCCAGAGCCTTCTTTTCTGCATCCTTCCCACATGTCCTCCAGACTCAGTTCTTTCTTGCTCGCACTGCCTCTGCCCACCCTCTCCCCAAGTCAGAAAGGGCTTTCAAACAAGTTTCTCACTGAGGGCGATTTGCTCTGAGGTGTTAATATCCACTGATATAAGATGTGTTGACGCACACGCTCCATGGCTGTGGGGTCCAACTGGCCCATGTAGACTTGCAGCAAAGATTCTCAAACACATGTACAAAAGCACAACTTCTCCAACTTAAGTGCCATTCTGAGCCCACAACTGGCCAGACTCATGGCAACTTTAACCTCAGGTTTTCAGGAAACTACCTCTGTTTCTTAGGAGTAGGTCAGAGTTGGGAGGAAGGTGAGACTTTCGATATGAATAGCCCCTCTCTCCACTTCTGCACCAGACTTTGGCCAGGGCTATCTCTAAAGACTGTCCTGACACAACCCTGCCTCTTGGGGTCTAGCCCCCTCCCTGCCGGTTGTGCTCCAAATAGGGCACAGGACCTCTCTGCTCTCGCCCCCTCCTCCTCACCTCACAGGAAACCCCTTCTTCCAGCTCCACCTCTTCCTCCACATTTGCCTCAGAGTAGTAAAAACAGCCTCCTGGGGTAGTCTTTATCTGCTTTGGGCCCTTTGTCCCATCTCTCTACTAAGGCCCTGGACACAGACCAAGGACCAGACTCCTTTGAAGAAAGAAAGAAGGAAAACCAGTACAAGAAGCATTGGAGGGTTATTCAAAATATAATGTTCATTCACACTGTTCATTCAAAAGCATCCAGCACTCGCCAGGGAAGTGCGCACAAAGAAGGCTTCAACGTCCACTCTTCAGAGGCAACACCTCACTGTCTTTCAAGCTCAGCTACAAAGATTGTGGTTCTTTTGCTGTGGGTTTGAATTAAACACACATGGCCTAGAGCGGCGATTTTCAGCCACGGCACACAGGGTGAAAATCGCTGGTCTTGGGGCCAAATTGAAGGACTCCAGAGGGCACCAGGGGCTTTGGTCTTCTTGACCTGGGCAGGGGAACAGGTGTTTTTAGCTGCCCTGCTATCCTGATGTCCTGGGGCATTTTCATTATCTACTCCCCCCCACACCAATCGGCGTGGGGGGATGGGTTCTGGCAATTCAGAGGCACCCCCCTCTGAGGGTTATAAAGCCAGAGGAGGTGAGTGTGCGTGAGAGTGTGCGAGTGCACGTGCATGTCAACACAGACTAACAGCCCTGAAGTAGCCATGCCTTTCTGACGGCCTCCTGCCCTCCTTCTCAGGGACTGGGTGAGGCTGCAATGTTCATGGGAAACTCCGTGCTCTTCGCCATACATGATGCAGTGGCTGCTGCCCGAAGAGAGAGGGGCTTGACCAACACCTTCATCCTAAACAGCCCAGCGACGCCTGAGGAGATTCGGATGGCTTGTGCGGATCAGTTCACCGACATGGTAAGGGTGGCGAGGAGGGCCCCCTGCTGGGACTCCTTTTCCAGGGCTTTCAGGTTCTCGGGATGAACTTGGTCTCTGACAGAATTCTAGGGCAGGTTCGTCTTTTCCAATGGAAATTCTCTTTTTTCCTCCACTTGCTACTTCCTATATGCTCCAAAGCAGCTGCCTGCAAAGTGAGTGAACCTCCCAAAATGATGTTTCACTGTTTCCAGCCCCAAAGAAAAGCACACTCAACTGAGTCAGTGCTGATAGCAAGTGGTATATATTTCTGTTTGTTTCCAGGAGCCTTTATATTTCTTCCTTGATTTCAAAAAAAAGGGGGGGGAGGGGAGAGACATCTGTAATACTTTCGACAATAAATTTTTTTAAAAATAGCAAATGGGCATGGTAGGTTATTTCTTTCAACATTTGGTCAAAATGCAGTTGATGTGGTATTTGAATTACCTCAATAACCAAATTAGATTCAATAGATATCTGATCTGGTCAATTATTCGGAAAGTATCTTTCAAGCAAACTAATAAAAAGAATTTAAATGAAAATATCAAGTCACTGGGCACATGTTAAAAGAACACAGTTTCATTTTTCAGCTGCTGAAAATACATCTAGAACTATCAGCGACTGTTTCTATATTCAACTGCTCACTGCAGCCCTACATGAGTCTGGTATAAAATTAGACTGCGGTTTAGGCCTTTGACATTACAGCGCTTCTGGGTTTAAGATGCATTTTATCCCCAAACATTATGAGAATGAGGAGATTTATGACTCAAGGTTGGAAAGAAATGTGAAAATTATAAAATTTTGGTAAGAATAAAATGGACACTGACTTGTTCTTTTTTTTAAAAAAATAAACAATATTTCTTTTGAATGACAACATTTTTCATATAACAGCATTTTTTTACACAGAACAGAGCTTTATTTTTCTGAAACAAAAGGAAGTTCTGGAGCCCAGGGCAGTCCAGTGATGCCATCAGGACCCAGGCTGCTTCCATGGTCCTGCTTCCCTACCCGCTCCAGGTCCTGAGACGGTGGCTTTCGGTCTCCTGGTTATGGATGCTGGCTGCTCCCCAGGAGTCGTGACTGTTCCATGATAGGGGGACAGAGACAAAGGCTAGGTGGACACGCCAGCAGAATTCTGACCTCTTTTTTATTTTTGTGGCTCTGAATTTCAGCTTTTATTTTACTGCAGAGATTAAACAGATTTTCTTCTTGACCCATTTAATACGTTTTTTTGTTTTGTCTTTTACTTTTCAATTACAGTTGACATTCAATATTATATTAGTTTCAGGTGTACTGTTTAGTGGTGAGACATTTAAATAACTTATGAAGTGATCCCCCTATACCTCTCATACCCAACTGATGCCATTCATCAGTTATTATAATATTATTGACTATACTCCCTATATTGTACTTTACATCCCCATGACTATTTTGTAACTGTCTATTTGTACTTCTTAATCCCTTCACCTTTTTCACCCAGCCCCCAAGCCTCCTTCCACTTGACAGTCATCAGTTTGTTCTCCGTTTCTGTTTTGTTTGTTCAGTATAACAACATTGTATTAATAACCATCTACCTTTATTTTATCTTTTTCAGATCCCCAGAGATGACCCTTCGACATTTACACCTTGGTCCATCCGTGTGTCTTAATCTTATCTTTTCTTTAGAAAATGAAAGAGTTGATGATTGCCCTTAAAATTCTCAAACCAGAGCAATATATCTGGTATTTCCCAAATGTCAATGATAATTTTAGCTTTTTTATTTTGTAATCCTCACCCGAGGATATGTTTTGTTGATTTTTAGAAAGAGGGGGAAGGGAGAGAGAGAGAGAGAGAAATATTGATGTGAGAAAGAAATATTGAACAGTTTCCTCCCATACATGCCCCAACTGGGAATTGAACCCACAACCTTTTTGATGTATGGGACAATGCTTCAGCCAGCTTAGCCACCCGGCCAGGGCAATTTTAGCATTTTTTAATTACTCTCTATAGTTTTGGTCACTGCATGATCATGTTTTAGGATGCAAATTTTCACTAAAAGGTATAATAAAGAATCAAAATTCTTCTTTTCATTTGCATTATCCTGAAGATATACAGCATCATGGGGGTTCTATCTTAGTCCATGTCTTGTCCTAACAGAATACCATAGACTGGGTGGTTTATAAAAAAACAAATATTTGTTTCTCACGGTTCTAAAGACCAGGAAGTCCAAGATCAAGGTGCCAGCAGATTTGGTGTCTGGTGAGCTCCTGCTTCCTGGTTCGCAGACTGCTATCTTCTCACTGTGTCCTAATTTGGAAGAAGGGACACGGGTGCTAATCCCATAGATGAGGGCTTTGTCCTCATTATCTAGTCGCCTCCCAAAGGCCCCACCTCCTAATACCATCACCTTGGGGA